CACCAAAAAAAAACGCAGACTCAGAAGTGACTACTGAGTCGTAAGCGAGCCAGTCTATAAATAAGCTCAAACCGGTTTAATTTATCGGTTCTTCGGTTAATCATCACAACAAACAATCGCAAAATCTGTGAAATTTAAACAATTTTTTTTTTTTTTTTAACTTTTCATCGAAAATATTTAAATTCAAATTAAGAAATTATTCCTAAACTGGTGGACTTTGACACTTTGTAGAAGATTCAGATAATTATTTTGGTATTATAATACAAGCAAAATAAAATAATTCGATCAGTAAAAAACACAAAAGCAGTGATGGTTATTAAAGAAATGAATACGAAATTCGGATTTCAATTCGGTTTGTGGGCCATTGTCATGTAATGGCCAGTCTTTGTCATTTTTTTTCCGAATCTTATTATTATTGGCCGTTTTATATCATTTTAAAATTTGAACTACGTAACAAAAGATATTTTGGGATTTCTATAACAAAAAAGAAAATAAAAAATAAAAGTCTCATGTAGCAGAAGCCACTAATTCATGTTTAGTATGGTTCAAGTAATAATTACCAGTAGTAGCACTAGCAAGCAACATTAAGCTCAAAACACAAACTTTCCATGAGAATCCTAAACCGAAAACACTAGAACTCTCTTTCTTTCTATGAACCGGAATCGGTTTTTTTGACTTCCTGAACGATGCGTATGTTTCGACTTCTTCGATTGTCAATGCGGGTTTAAGCGAGGTCTTTGCGGTTTGGAAATGGCGATTGAACACAGCGGTTGCTGCAATGTTTTCTCTAAGCGAGACAGTTCCGCTTTCTCTGCATAGACCTTCGAGTTCAGCACCTGTAAAAAGCTCGGTTTCTTGAGCGATTTTTCTGAGATCAACGTCGTTTCCTAGTCTCATGTTGCGTGTATGCACTTGTAGTATCTCAAACCGAGCTTCTAGATCAGGCGGTGGCACGTAGAGCACCTAAAACAAAAGACATTTCAAAGAAAAGGTTAACAATCCCGGTTTTGCTATTTAGAACTCATCTGATTCCAATATGAGGACTTACTAGATCAAATCGACCAGGTCGCATTAGAGCAGCATCAATTGCATAGGGACGGTTTGTAGCAGCCAAGACGAGTATTCCCTAAACCAAGAAACACATCGATATCATTTTGGTACCGAGAACATAGATCGAATATACACAAGCTATGAACTTTTGTTTGTTTATATACCTTGGCTTCTTCAAGACCATCCATTTCGGTTAACAGTGTAGACAGAAGTCTTTCTCCAACTGTAGAACTATTGCTTGAGCTGTCATCACCTCTACAAAGACCCAAGGAAATAAATATGTTGAGAGTTTATACAGCGAAAGCAAGAGTGTGGAGAGATAGAGACAAACCTTTTACAAGCGACAACATCAGCTTCGTCAAAGAATATTATACTCGGAGAAGCTAGTCGAGCTCTTTGAAACGTATTCCGCAATAATGCTTCACCTTCTCCAACATACATAGAAAATAGCTCTGCACAGCTACATCGCGCCCACACAAATACACAGGAAAAATAAGTTCCATTAAACAAGTTTTATAACCAAATGAGATTTTTCTTAACATGTGATTAATCGACTTCTCAATTCTCTGATCTACAGAAATTATACCTTAAGGAAAAGAAGGAAGCTTGAGCAGCATTTGCAGCAGCTTTAGCAAGAGTTGTCTTCGAGCAACCTGGAGGACCATGGAGGAGTATTCCACGCATCGGCGATATGCCCATTTTCACAAATGCAGCTGAATGTTTGATTGGCCATTCAACAGCTTGCTGGAGCTTTTTCTGCCGGCAATGAAAATATGAAACACATAAGTCGCAATGAAAGAGGAAGACAACAATGTTAAAACTTAAAACTGGGATCCTTTTAAAGTAGTAACCTTTAGGTCTTTAAGACCACCAACGTCGTTCCATGTCACTTTTGGGATTTCAACTGTGATGCCTCTTGTTATACTTGGACCAACTACAGATTTTGCAATCTTGAAGTCTTGCAAAGTTAGAATAAGAGAATCTGAGGATCTTTTGCTAGCAGATATGGTCGCTTCACGGCATAAAGCTTCCAAATCTGCTCCAACATAACCGTTGCAAGATGTCGCTATGGCTTGCAGATCAACACTAGTATCTAAATTGACTTTCTTAGTGTACAGCTGAAAAAATAGCAAACATGAAGCTCACATAAAAATTTGCCATTTACGCAGCAATAAGCATCCCACTTAAGAACTCGAAATTACCTGCAGGATTTTTAAACGATCCTCCTCATTTGGCGTGCTCACTTCAATTAAAGCATCAAATCGTCCCGCCCTTCTTAGCGCTGGGTCGATTGCATCAATCCTTTTACAAGATCAGGAAAAGTCATTGAACCATTTCATTTCAAATATGGTAAAACCAAAATAATATTTTCAGTTAAGACAAGAACCTATTTGTGGATGCTACAACAACAACTCTTGGAGCAGATGATGAAGGCTTGTTCGAGTCCATGAGTTGAAAGAGTTGAGAAGCAATACGAACATCTTGCTCTCGTCTGCATTTTAGAGAGGATCAAATCATTCTCAAATCTCTTAAAGATCTCGTTGAAGATCACAACTATAAATTATGATGAGTAGCAAAAATTTGAGTGATACAATACCTAGAATCACGCCGAGGACAAAGAACGTCAATTTCATCGATAAAAACCACAGACGGCTTATCCGAAGCAGCGTGAGAAGAAGCCTCGGCGAAAGCATCTCTTAACACTTTCTCGCTTTCTCCAGCATGTGCTCTATGTACAGAATGAGGACTGAACAGAGCATTGCCACACAAACACAAAGCATAATTCACCTTTTGTCTATTTCCTCCATATCATAAAATTTATACAGAAACTACAAAGCAAAGTACCTTAAAACAATCAAATGTGCATCACATTCCTGGACAACTGCACGGACCAAACTTGTCTACACAACACAGAATTGCAAGATAGAGAATTCACGAAAAAGTTCCAAACTTTGAAGAACCCAACACACTCTTTGTCTGAAATTTTTACCTTTCCGGTTCCAGGAGGGCCGTATAGAAGCAATCCTCTTGGCCACTGCAATGATGAGTAGAACACAGAGCAAATTAATCAATTGAAAACGAAAGAGAGAAAGCTCAAATCAGGTGTGGAAAAGGTGTATACTTTGAGACCAAGAGTTCGAGCTTCGAGAGGGTAACGAAAAGGGAGGATTATGAGTTCACGAAGCGCTTGTAAAGCCCTTTCGTTGCCACCAATTTCTGCTTCTGCTCGCCACGTTTCATCGTTAACGACGATGTTGTCGCAGCCACTGCTTTCGGTTTCCATCAGGAGAAAATCAAACTTTGACAGTAAAGTTGCGGGCTTTTTTGCAGGGGTTTATGCGCCGGAGTACGCAGATCACCGGTGAAGAAAATTGATTTTAGACAATAATGTTAGGGCTTTTGTTTTTCTTGTGATTTTCCTATTTTACCCTTTATTTTCTCAAAACAAAATTGTTTGAAATTGAGCAAACATGAGATGGTATGGTATCCGGGAGGTTCTTGAGCAACAGCATAAGGTCAATTTTTCTTAGTTAATTTTTATTATAATTTAGAACTCAAAAATTATTAAAATTATATATAAAAAGCCCAAAATTTTAGATTTTAACAAATATAGACTATTTTTAAAAAAAAATTAAAATTTTTGCATAGGTCCCAAAAACTTTGTAGCCTTTTTTGAGCCGCCACTGGTAGTACTGTTCTTATTAGAAGAACTTTTGTATACAATACAACACAAACTAATATCTAGCCATAGTTGTGTAGGGATAAATATGAGTGTTTCGGTCTTATGGGGACTGGAATCTCACGCTTCCGGCAGAGGCCTGGTTTGCGGCACGGTTACTTCCAAAGTTCTTCCGGTTTGATTCACGCGCGATTCTCGATCCAAACTGATAATAAAACCAAAGTCCAAAAATAAGTGAAGGTCAAGAGCATGAAAACACAAAACTTTCAACTTTAATGGTTTGAGTTGAGTTCTCTCATAAAGTTATCAGCTTTTCAATCTCTTTTTACCTGTATTGCTCTCTTAGGCATCTTTGCCACTTCATGTAAACCAAGCAACTTTGCAACCTTCATATTTAAGTAACTTTTCAGTTTATGAAGTTTCGAGAATGTTCTCGAGGTTTTTTAAAAGGAAAAATTTACTCACCTGTCTAAGAATTTTCTTGTCTCCCTTTCCACTTGGTTGCTCAAAATCTGCGATTTCCCATAAAGGAATGTCAAGGAGAGTCTTTATCACATCTTCATCTAAGAACGGGAACCTCCCCTGAAAATGTAAATTGCATTTTAAGAACATATCACAAAGAGAAAACAAGTTGAGTTTCTAGTCGCAGTGCAACATATACCTCTTTACCATTATCTGCAATGCATCGATCATCCCGACCCAAATTTCTTTTCCAAATTCTCTGCATATCCAATTTCATTTCTTGATCCAATGCAACCCAGCTGAAAAAAATGAAACAAATGAGTGAGATGAGTTAATTATTAGTTTACATCCATAGGAGAAAGTATCTGCAGGCAGATATATATTACATATGTACCTCCCGTTTCGATACTTTGTTCTGTGCCTACCATAACCAGCACATTGCTCATCAGCACCAGCGCCAACAAGCAGAATTCTTGCCTCAGATTTATATTTAATTCGTCGATTATCTTCTTCTACTGTTTGATTTTCGCTTTCTTCGTGAATCCAACCATCACCACAAGCAGCAAGCCATAGTGCTGTTCCTATGTTAAGGTCCTAGAACATTGCAAAAAGATTGTATGATTCTCATCGAGTTTGGAAGAATGTAATGATAAGCCCCAAGACTTTAAAGTTTACCATGTAAGTGTCTGCAGGATTGATGAGTGACATAACACGCTTTGTCTCGAAGGTTAATTTTGACAACTCCGCATCAATCTCCACAAGTTTCCACCTTCAGTTTCCAATAATGTTTGCATCAAAAGAGTGAGAAATTTGTTACAACAATCATAGACATATGGATTTAGACACGGTTTCAGAGTTAAAATACCTTCTCAATGGTGCAATCTTTTTAAGTTCCTTTATTCCAGCTTTTGCGGAGATCCTATCAGGAGCATTAGGACCATCAAAGCTGACATTAAGAAGATCAACTTCATCTGAAAGAAAAAAACAGATTTTTTACAATCTAAGTTAGTTTTAGAATCGTGCCCGAGATGGAAACAGTGTAGAAGAAAGGTTACATTTTGGATCAAGGCACTGATCCAACAGAGCAGTAAGAATCATCGAATCTAATCCACCAGAGAAAAGGACAGCTACGGGGACAGCTTCTTTCTCTCCCTGTTTCTGTCAATAAGAAGATGTTTGAAGGTAAACCCGTGGCTGCAGTGTTTTTTTTTCCCACAAATCATGAAGCATTAAGTAGAGCATAGTTTAAAGCTCATACCTGAAAAATGCTATGTAGTGAAGTTCGCCGCCTCACTGATTCCTTTAAAACAACCAAAACTGTCTGCGCGAAAACTAAAGCTAAACCTTGTCAGGCATATGAACATTTGGACAGAACTGGAGCATGACGAACTTAAGCAGTACCTGAAGAAGTTGAAAGAGCATTGTCTTTCTCTTCTTGAATTCTGCCAAATGACAACTTTGATAAATCTTCAGGTCTTGGTGCAACAAAATTCCTTTCCCATTCAATCAAGTCTTTCCACATGGTATTTCCCCATTCGTGCTTAGTGACTTCACCACGAATGCATAAACCGGATTCTGAAACCCCAAAAGAAATGCTGTACACTCCACATGGAAGCTCTTCCCAAAATCTATGAATGCTATTACCATTTCCAGCATCCAATCCTGCCAAAGAACATATGTTACTTGAGATTGGAGTGTAGGTAAAGAGACAAAATTATTCTACTAAAAAATAAAAACCAGAGCCATGAGCAACAGAAGAAGCTGGTGAAACAGACGATAGAAGAAAACGAGGGTCTTCAACAGTTGGCCAGTGAACAAGAAGGCTCCTCCGACCAAAAGCATCTTTACCAAACCATAGCGTTCTTGAGCTTTCCTAATGGAGAAAAACGTTCAAAGAGCAAGTAAATTGCTACGAAAAAATACAAAAATAGAGGCAAGTCACGAAATTACCTGCCAATATATAATGGCCCACGGACCCTTAATCATCGAAAGAACATCTGGAACCGAAGATTTTACGCTCTCTAAAGTCTTCAGAAGAACTTCAGTATCATTATCATAACTATTAAGTTCAATTCCTCCGAATACTTCGCCTGCAGGGGAAAAGAAACCAATCGATATCAAATAGTGTAAAAGAAAACTCATGATAATTCGAAAACTTAAGAAGAAGACCACACCATTGTAAGCTAGAATGTTTCCAGAAGAATCCACCAATGGCTGAACTATAGGATTAGTTCCTCTAAGCTGTAATGTGGAACCTAAAAAATGCAATTCACCAGAAGAAGAAGTAGTATTCTCAAGCTCGCAAGCTCCTTCCCCAGCCTCAAAAACAGAGAGAGTCACAGATTCTTGAGCACAATTTGGTCGAAGATGAATCTTCTTTTCGCCTACATTATCAGGACCTCTTTGTCCTAAGACAGATTTGACATCTTCAACAGAGAATTGCAACTGGTTTTAACCAAAAAAACACACCAACTTAGCCCACTCCTCAAATGTTATAGGATTCATAACATCAAATCAATCAAATTTATTGTTAACCATCAATAAAAACTCAAAAGGTTAATCCTTTCAATTACTACTCAAATACCAGAACAGAGTTTGAAAGTCACCCAATAATCAATTACATAAGAAGAACAATCGGTCTTAAACCCAATTAAAGTTTCAAGCTTTAACAGTGATTAAAGAGAGAACATAACCACAAACTTCAAACCCAGAAATAATTCATACTAGAGAAGAGATTTACCCGTTCGAAAGGAGGTTCGGAGAGAGACTGCAACGTCGAGAGTTCGATACGAACGCCGGACACTATAACCGCAATTCCGCACATTTCTCCGGCGGCGTCTCTCTCTAATCTCTCTCTGTCAAAAGAAGAAATTGCTTTAAAGAAACCGTTAGCAAAAAGAGAGTACAAAGTTTTAAACTTTTGTTGCAGAATGAGAACAAATTGCCTCCGTAGCATAGTGGTATTGCGTTCGCTTCGTAAGCGAAAGGTCGTGAGTTCGATCCTCGCCGGGGGCTTTTCCTTTTTTTTGGACTGATTTGTTTTTGCCTTTTTACGGATCTTATTATTGAAGACGACATTCTGTTATGACTACGTGTCGATGCTTTACTGGATAGTATCCAAAAAGT